AGAGGCCCACGGTAAAATGACAAGCTGCTTCAGTCATATTTTTACAAAATGGCTACCATTCCTCCTAAATACATGGAGATAGCGTAGATAGGCATTGGATAACGTACCTGGAATAGGAATGATGGGTATGTTCTCATTGGGGACGACTCTCGGCGAGCTGCTATCATCCACATAAAAATGAGCCGTCTGAAAACACTTCCTGTACAAGAAAAAAGAAAAAACAACATCAACCAACCAATCTCCAAGTCACTCGTACAGAACTTTTCTGCTTTTATCAATTCAAAACGCATTCCATCAGATCGCGGATCAAAGTTGCAAGTTCAGATAGTCTTAGCTCTAAGGTAGGCCTCTTGTACGATTTTTGATGATCACATTTTCGTCTGATGGTCACCAGGAACTTTCAAATGCAACCGTGCTAAAAAGTTTTCAGTCAAACCGACGAAGGCAAAAGGCAGATCACATAGAAACACTTCAAATCATTTCATGATATAAGATTCGGTCTTGATCCTACAGGAATATTCTACTGATAGCAGCCAATAAGATTCCAGCTGTCACTATAGCTAATTGAGTGCTTAGGGCAACGTTTCTACTCTCCTTTTCCATCCATTTTGCAAAATCTTTTTAAAGGAAATCCAAAGAAAATGCAGGCATGAGAACAAAATAAAACAAAACATCATTCAGATTGGGTGCTTAGGACAACACCTCTTCCTTTCCGTCACAATAGGAAACCTTAAAATAACACCACGTGGACACGAAGAAGCCCAATAATGTAACATGTTTTGGCCACATCTGTCAGTTGTCAATGTTACAATCTAATACTAAAAATCACCCTAAGCGCAGCCATTCTGAGACAATCTTCTGCGCCAGACACAAGGCAGCGCCGAGAACTCCCAACTCCACACACGTTCCTGTTAAAGTATCAAAGACTTATAAAGAAAGTGCCAAATCCTCAAACTTTACACCGCTAACAACTCTGCAAGGGAAGCACAGATGCCAAAAAGTAAAAGTGATTTGTACATGGTTTCAATACGTTCTACAACAAGGTGATCTGACTTTAATTTGGGACAAATTCACTTTAATTTAGTGACTTTACCAGCAAAGAAGAAAAAAGGGGGTAAGGGGGACACACAACTGTTTACGGACAAGCAGGAAGGATGTGGATTTTGCATTATTTAAAGCAAAGCATGTTCTGAATAACAGCAGGGGAGGTTGGGCATATGTTTATCCCCGCACAGCTGTTAAAACACAGGGAGGCAACACCACTACAACACCACCAGTGCTATGGAAGAGGCCTTTCACAAGAGCCTAGGGTAATGATAATAATTAAAAAAAGGGGGGGCCCACACCACAGATATACAGGAACACCTTCGAAGGACTGACAAGGAGACAGCTAAGGAAGACACAGCTATAATTTACCTGTACTTAAAGCAAAGCAGAGAGCACAGACTGTTCATCATAGACAAGGCACTAAGCAGCAAAGCATTGAGAGCTCCAAGCAGCTTTTGCATGTTGAAGTTGAATGAGCCTAAACAGCAGAAGCAGCGGCGTCAGTGTGTTCACTGCTGAGAAGCCAGGGGCCGGAGCTGCATATTTAATGAGCCAGTACTGTGTGAGCTATTGTAACTGGGATGGGAGGGGGGTCTTTCTTGTCTGCCTGTAGTCCATAACAATGGACCTTTTCCAGGGCACTGATCCTCCCCTCGCTCTTGCTCGCCCTTTAATGAACTGCTCTCCCCAGCACCTGTCTGGGGAGTCCATCGCCCATCACATTTTATGGATATATAAAAGACACACATAAAAAAAAAAACACCATAAAAGATTTTGCTGTTGGCAGATCTAGCTTAAGTTTTAGAAGGAAACTAAAGTCCTTTTATTTATTTGTACATGTTTTTCTATTACATGTTGGCCACACTACAGAATGTACAATGCATGCAGCATGGGAAAGGATGAACCTAATAATTTTACCGATGCATCATATTAACATAAATCTAGTTTATTTTGGGACGAGTCTGTAATTATATGTGTACATAGCAGGCAGACATATTTGCTTATTACATATGCAGGCTCTGCTTCTGGATTAGTAATGCCTTACTCTTCAACTCTCTCAGTTCAAGTCTACTAGTCAGGTCTGGGTGATTGCTCTGGCTGAACATAATCTGTGAAATTCATGAAGAGTGTCGTAGATGCTCATTAGAAAGCTGTCTCATGGTAGCACGACAAATTTGAAGCATGTGCCAGCTAGGTATACACGAATCTATCGCTGAACTGTCTCCAAAGAATTTTGACAGACTGTAGAATGGTGTGGAGCTTAGAAAGAAGAAATAATGCTATAGGGAAGTCAGCTACAGTTTCTCAGGTTTAGGTCACTACTACTGACTTCGCCCAAGCCTGCTCAAAACTGTGACTGATGCCCCCTCTTCCTGGCCCAATCAGTTGTGGGGAGATGGATTCCTCACCCTGCAAATATATGTCACAATAGGGGGCCCCCCACCCCAAGTGGCTACTGACTGGCCACAGCATGGGTCAAAGTTTTGAGCAGGCTTGGGCACACTGGATTCACAGCCCAGATTCATCTCTACTCCTAAGGCCTCATGCACATGGGCATCATGCGTTAAACACAGGAGACGTTATCTGGGTCGTATAAACAACTTTTATGCTTCCATGTTCCTTTTTCCTGCATTTAGATGTTCCTGGGTTTTAGCTGCGTTTATATGTGTATAGCTGAGTAAAACCAGGCTAAAAATAGTCCAAACATGCAGTACATTCATATTTGTTTAAAAGCAGCTAGACTGAATATGCCTAAACCAGAAATGGGCAACCCTGGCCCTCCAGCTGTGCTTTAACTACAATTCCCAACATGCCTCTGCTCCTGGGAGTCATGCCTGTAACTGCCAGTCTTGCAATGCCTCATGGGATTTGTAGTTTCACAACAGCTGAAGGGCCAGAGTTGCCCACCCCTGGACTAAACGCTGCTGAATGTCTAGATGTGCATTCAGCCATAGAAAAGCATTGCATGCTTCCAGGTCTGTTTAGAAATTAGCTCCAAACGCACCTGGCTGCATGTTTTTTAATTCCCGTGTTCACACCAGTGCGCTCTAATTAGTTTGTCAGTTGTTTTAAAGCGTATTTACTGCTTATTAAGATTTACATATTTAAAGAGACCCTGACACCAACTTGATAACATTGTCGACAAAAGCACCGAAAATCCAAGTATTTTTAATGCATAACTGAAGTGTTTTTCTATTCCATAAATTATTTTATGCGCTTGCAATATGTCTCCTAGAAAACCTGACTACTCCAGGAAAGTAAATTCCCTAGCATAGCCCCCTCCTTGCACATCATAGCTCTCTGGGGGTGTCCAATTTACTCCCTGTGTTGGCCCAGCTCCTCCAACCCTCACCTCTCTACATAATTGCTGCCCACTTGTGTTTCTTACCCTGCACCTTTCTGCTGCCTGTCACAGCAGCCTGTCTTTTCATGGGCCTGTACCTAGTACTGATTTTGCCCACTTTATGACAACCTAAGCAGCCCATAAAACTGCAACCACCAACATACTAAAACACTAGAAACACTGACAGTTTGTAGTTCACGCCTCTTTAAAGAAAATATTTCCAGCCAGAACCTATGGATGTACACTGAGTAAAAGTCTGCTCTTCCTCGTTCTAGCACACACAGACACCAATAAATCTACCTGAAGGTATTTACAGTCATAGCCCGCCTTCTTGGCATACGACTTAATTCAGTCTCCATGAAAAAAAGTGTAGTTGTAAATTTGGGAAACAAATGTCTTATTTAAAAAAAAAAAAAAAAAGAAGCTTTTTCTGGGAAGTACATAGAGATAATGTCAGTTAAACAAATATTTTCACTAAATACCAACAATAATTCACAAAATGGCAAGTGTTTCAGCACTCTGTGAAGGTCACCGCTGATGGAATGTACAATAAAAAATGTGTTCAGCGGTGTAACTGTTCCACTTCATGTTTGGTGACAGCTGCAGCCTGGAACTAGGCCAAAGCAAAGAACAACCTGCACAGACTCTAGAGCTACACGATCCAGCTTGCTGGTCTCAAAAACAGGGGGGAAAAAAGAGCAAAAATAAAAAACACAAGACCAGAGAGCTCACATTGACCATTTCTGATACGATTTGAGGAGTTCATTCACACATCCCAACTTTGTAACACCTTTTAATGGCAACATTTTTAGGCAAAATGTTCAATCTAGTCTGGCTTTCACACTTCCTGCACAGATGTTCATCAGCAGATGTTTTAATGCCTTAGTAGAAATCTAAAATGGCCGATATCAGGATCATCAAAGAAAAATGAAATAAAATTCACAAAAAAAGAAACTCTCAAAGTGGAATTTCCACCCAGACATTTTTTCCGTTCTTTATAGAGTAGGGAACAATTAGAACCTCTTAAGGGTTTTTATTGACTCGGTGCGCTAAGAGGAAGGGGCCAGAAGCAGAATGTATAAAGTCTAAATTTAGTTTTTAGTAAATCAAAAAGCCTATGCATTTTGGGGGTTCAAAGGATCCATGTTCATTAGGGCTTGGCACTGTTCAACAAAGCCTTCACTGGACTCATAAAACTAAAGGACTCATGAGGGGAAATTAGTATGATCACTCCACATACTGGTAGAGCATCTGCACCCGGAAAATGGATTGGATTTTATGATTTAAAGTGACATTAAACCCTCATATTTTTAACATAAACCAATACTGTAATGTGTGCCTTACTGTAATCCATGGTTGTTTCCCTTCTATTTGCTGCTCTTCCTTTTAAATCTGTATCTCTTCTCATGCTTGGGTAGAACTTCTGTTTTGCAGCAGACTGCCTTGTCTCAGGAATGGATACACGGTGTCTGTGTATTAGTTTCTATAGGCTTGTAACCTGAGCCAGCACTACAGGAAGAGGCCCTGAGCTGAAAAGGGAAGTTCTCCCCAAGCATGAGAAGACATGAGGATTTAAAAGGAAGAGCAGCAAAGAGAAGGGAAACAACCATGGGTTACAGTAAGGCGCACATTACAGTATTGGTTTATGTTAAAAAAATCTGAGGGTTTAATGTCACTTTAAGAGTTTGAAAAAAATAAAATGGACTTTATACGTTCTGTTTGGCATGTTACTTGTTGCACACCCAGTCCCTACCCAAGCAAAGAGCCAACCTTTGGTTACCACTCCTGGGAGAGCTGCCTAAGGATAA